AAAAGTTCAAACTTGTAGAGAAAAAAGTCACAGTCAAAAAATTATGTAAGCATCCTGAGTTAGTGTAGATCTTATTTTGTTCAAATCATACCCCCACTCCCTTTTAGGGGTAGGTTGGGACCATTTATGCATTCAAGCTTTTCAATACTATACTGATTTTTGCTTTTTTCCTAGCCACAGTGCTCGGGTGAGCGATGTGGCCCCTGGGCCTCCTGTACACAGTAGCCTAATCATCTTATGGAAGATGGTTGGTGTTGTACTGTAGATGTGCAATAATGTTTCGGAATTTTCATTTTCACCCAGGGGGTCAAATAGGGATTCATGAATCCACCTAGAACATGTATAAATTCAAGGTTATCTCGATTCATCGGATATCTCAAACTTTAATAGTGGTCCCATATAGTTTGAGATAATGAGGTTTGTCTGTATCTACCTTACTAACCATGACAACACTGTTCAACTAAATCTCTTTAAAGAAGATAAACAGAATTATGTATCTTAGTATAATCTACTTGTACAGTCTCATTCAAATTAGATAAAACGGTAGGAGGAGTAGTGCTTTGTAAGAACAATTTTGATTCCACTCTATGTAATGAAGCTATCACAATAAGTTTCCATTGCTCTTGCCAAGTGGGTCTTGAAAAGTTTTTATTTCTTATACGTTCCAATGTAAAACTTTAATTGCCTCTTATGGCCCCACTCTATCCCTGGGGGTCATGTGTGGACAAATTAAATCTACACTATGTTATGAAGCTTTCAAATAAATTAAACTCTTCTGACTCAGTGGTTCTTGAGAATAAGACTTTTGAAATTTTCAGTCATCTTATATCTCCTTAAAATGAGCTTTACCCTTATTTGAACAAACTTAAATCCCCTTTATCCAAGGAAACTTTTAGGCGATTTTGTTTTAACTGGTCCAGCAGTTCTTGAGAAGATAATATTGTAAAAATTTTACGCCAAAGACAACAACAACAACAGAGATTTTAATCAGAATTGAAAGCTTATTTGATCCGTCAGATCAAATGAACTAAAAATAAAGGCTGGTGGTTGTGGTGGGGGGGGGGGGGGGTGCAACACTTGCTTAACAAAATACTCAATATAAAGCTGTTCCCAAAATTTTGCATTCATAGGATATGTATATGTTAGCAAACTTTTTCAAAGTGCCATGAGATTTGGTTCGACGCAAGGAAATGGTTTAACAACATACAAAATATAACGTTTTACATAGAAATTAACTCTTTGTTTCTCTATATATTTTATCACACCTCTTGTGTGTTTCTTGTTATTTTGATTAGAATAATGATGATTAATTGCTGCCTAGTCCAATTTTGTACAGGCCCATATGGTAATTATACCCTGTTTACCCGTCTGCACAAGTCTGGTGAGGGTCTATGTGAGTAATTTTCGAACATAATTTGGTTCATTTTTGCATACTCAAAATATGAAAACAGTCATGTATTTTGTAATGGATTTAAGCCTTGAACTCAGTTGTAGTTTTCTTTGCGACCTGGATGGAAGAAAAAATGGTCAAGAAATTTATTTTCAGAGGTTTTCTATAAACTTGATCACCATCCTAGAAAATAAATGTTTGATCCAGGTAGGACAAACGGGAGAAAAAATAAACCCTGGACAAGGATTGTACAAAAAGAGTTTACTTTGACCTTTCATCTATTAAAATTAGGAAGAACGTTTGCTCAAGACAAGTGTATGTTGATGCAAAGAGATTTTCTGACCTTCACCTTTCATCTAGAAAATTGATTCAATGTCACCGCAAACCCTCTAACCAAGAGGACTCTATGTATAAAGTATGAGCTCAAAGGAGCCAAGCGGGGAGAAAATATGCTCTGAAAAGGATTGTACACAATGAGGTTTTCTTTACCTTGACCTTTGTTTGAAAAAAATGGCATTGAACACCCTCCGTCCATGGGTACTCTATGAGTAAAGTTTGAGCCAGGTAAGGCCAAGGGGAGAGAAGACATACTCTGAACAAATTTTTCTTATGCAAAGCTATTTTCTGACGTTGATCTTTCATCTAGAAAATTGATTCAAGGTCACTGCATAAACTCTACCCAAGGACACTCTATTGTTTGAAAGAGTTAAATATCAGCTATTATCAACCTTGCCTTTCAATAGTGCATTCAACCATGACTGAGGCAAAATAGGGCTTTCGTTTCCCACTGTCACATTTGGGTTGAAGGGGTACCATTAAGTAGTGTTAACGTTAAGGTTTGGGACCAAATTGTTAGCATTTTTTTTCTTTGTCATCTTTGGATAACATTTAAAATAGCACTGCTATGGGTAGGTATTCTTATTTAGTATATCTTGTCAACTTTTTGAGGGATCTCCGGCTCTCTGGCCCTGGAAGGGACCAGTAGACTATACCAAACTTTTTTTCACATTGCATTGTGAGATGAAGTTAAAAAAACACTACTATCTCCCTTACCTTTGAAGTGTAAAAACAACAAAGTTCAGGTTAGCTTACTGGCCGTTTTTCTTCCCAGGGACCCTTCAAAAACCTGACGAGTTGTTCTTCCTTTGGTCCTTAACCTTTCACTAGTGTTACTTAGTTCTAGTAGCCAAAGATGCTTTCAAAATGAATGCTTAAATACGCCCCCACCCATGGCACCACTTGGTGGTACCACTACAGCCCCATTTTGATAGCGGGAAATGATAGTCCTAGGGGCCCTCTACCTTGCCCCAGTAATGAATTGAAGCACACTTCAAAGATAAGGGGTATAATAGCTGACCTTTAACCTGTATATTAAAACACAAAGTGAAAAACAACAAAGTTCAGGTTAGCTAACTGGCGCCTTCCTTATCCAGGGAACCTTCAAAAACAGGCAAATGGTTCTCTCTAAGGTCCTTAACCTTTCACTAGTGTTACTTTGTTCTAGTAGCCAAAGATGCTTTCAAAATGAATGCTTGAAATACGTCCCCCACCCTTGGCACCACTTGGTGGTACCACTACAGCCCCATTCGGACAGTGGGAAAAGATATTCCTATGGGCCCTCTACCTTGCCCCAGTAATGATTTGAAGCACACTTCAAAGATAAGGGGTATAATAACTGACCTTCAACATGTATATTAAAACAAAAAGTGAAAAACAACAAAGTTCAGGTTAGCTTACTGACCCTTTTTCTTCCCCGGGACCCTTCAAAAACCTGGCAAGTGGTTCTCCCTAAGGTCCTTAACCTTTCACTAGTGTTACTTTGTTCTAGTAGCCAAAGATGCTTTCAAAATGAATGCTTGAAATACGTCCCCCATCCATGGCACCACTTGGTGGTACCACTACAGCCCCATTCGGATAGCGGGAAATGATAGTCCTAGGGGCCCTCTACCTTGCCCCAGTAATGATTTGAAGCACACTTCAAAGATAAGGGATATAATAGCTGACCTTTAACCTGTATATTAAAACACAAAGTGAAAAACAACAAAGTTCAGGTTAGCTTACTGACCCTTTTTCTTCCCAGGGACCCTTCAAAAACAGGCAAATGGTTCTCTCTAAGGTCCTTAACCTTTCACTAGTGTTACTTTGTTCTAGTAGCCAAATATGCTTTCAAAATGAATGCTTGAAATACGTCCCCCACCCTTGGCACCACTTGGTGGTACCACTAAAGCCCCATTTTGATAGTGGGAAATGATAGTCCTAGGGGCCCTCTACCTTGCCCCAGTAATGATTTGAAGCACACTTCAAAGATAAGGTGTATAATAGCTGACCTTTTACTGTATATTAAAACATTAAGTGAAAAACAACAAAGTTCAGATTAGCTAACTGGCCCCTTCCTTTCTCAGGGACCCTTCAAAAACCAGGCAAGTGGTTCTCCCTAAGGTCCTTAACCTTTCACTAGTGTTACTTTGTTCTAGTAGCCAAAGATGCTTTCAAAATGAATGCTTGAAATATGTCCCCCACCCATGGCACCACTTGGTGGTACCACTACAGCCCCATCCTGATAGCGGGAAATGATAGTCCTAGGGACCCTCTACCTTGCCCCAGTAATGATTTGAAGCACACTTCAAAGATAAGGGGTATAACATCTGACTTTTAATCCATATATCAATAGACAAAGTGAAATACAACAAAGTTCAGGTTACCTAACTGGCCTTTTCTAATCATTGAAACCTGTCAAAAAGTTGACAAGGGATACTCCCTAATTATGGCCCTTAACTTTTTTCCAGTTAAGTGTTAGTTTCTTCTAGTGGTCCACTATAGTTGAAAAATGAAAGCTTGAAATATGTTCCCCACCGTTGGCACCACTTGGTGGTGCCACTACAGCCTCATACCGATTGCGGGAAATGATAGTCCTAGAAATCTTCTATCTTGCCAGAGTAATGATTTAAAACACACTTATAAGATAAGAGGTATAATAGCTGCTTGAAATATGTAACCCGCCCTTGGCACCACATGGTGGTACCACTTCAGCCTAATTTTCATGGCCGTATATAATAGCACTGTGGATCGTTTACCTTGTGCCAGTAATTGTTCGAAGCACACTTCAAGGATCATAACTTAAAATAGATTAAATTACCTTCAAACCCTTATCAATGTAAATGTTAGGAGTAAGCAAATTTCAGGTTAGCCTTTTGGCACCATCATATTCCTGAGACCCGTAAAAGAGCTTAAAAAGGATTCTCCCGGAAGTACTTAACCTATTTCCAATGTTGGTTTGTTCTTAAGCGATCAAAGGTGGTGACATTTTCTTTTCTTTCTTGTTTGTTTGTTTTGAAACCGCATAATTTTCCTTATGCAGGTGAGCTAAACTGCCTCCAAGTGTTTGAATTATTAAATAATTAAGTGTTGCATTAATTATCTAATTATTAATTATCAATTGTCGAAAATGAGCCATTAAACAGTATTGCGTCAGAGTACTCTCAGTCCTTTGATGAATTTCCTTATTGGCTGCTAGCTTCTACGGGCTTAATGGCTGCTGTTATTGGCTGCTAGCTTCAGTCTAGTTGTAACTTTTGTTAGTAAATACACACACTCTGTTTTAATTTCAGACATGACGGACCCCCATTCGTTTATTTGTGTTTTCCTGCTTCTTTGCAGCATTAATGGTAAAATTTTCTTCTCTCTTTCGAAAGTAAAGGAAACTTTTTTTCATCAAGTTTTTGAAGCAAAGAGAACAAAAAAGAGACCTATAATCGTGAAGCATACTTTTATTTGTCTATATCAGGAATAAACTCTGCTACCACCACGAGTGAAAATCCAACGACTACTGAAACAACAGAGTCAACAGTAGAAGCAACTACATATATACATACTACAACAACAGAAACACCAACAACGATAGAAGTACAGACAACAACAGAAGTACAGATAACAACAGATGTGCAGACAACAGAGCCATCAACAACAACAACAGATGTGCAGACAACAGGGGCACAAATGACAACATCTGAGACACAAACAACAACAAATGCACCAACAACAACGGAGACATTCACCACAACATCAACTGAAACACCAACAACATTAAAAGAAACAACAACAATGGAAGCATTAAATACAACAGAGGCAATGACGACGACTAAAGATAATCCCACAACAACAGAGACAATGACAACAACCACCGAAATTCCTACAACAATCATCAGTCACGCACAAACAACCACAACAGTAGTGACAGAGTCATCATCACCTAAAACAGTTGAATCATCCTTTACCAACACAACTGATCTACCGACAACAACGACATCTTCACCACAATCAACAACTACTACAAGTGAAACAAACCAGACAACTTCTGTATTACTTGACACGTCAACGACAATACCTCCAACAACACAAGCGACAAGCTCGCAAATGAATTCAACGTCCATGGCTGATACCACGACAACAACCATGAGAGCAACAAACACTGAATCGACGACAATGAGAGCAACGAACACTGATTCACAAACCACCATGTCATCTGCAGCACCTGATGATAACCGAACAACAACAACAGTAATGTCAACAACAACAAACAGAGATACGTCAACAGAAAATTCTACTGATAAACCGACAACAATAATGTCAAGTAATAACCAGACTGTCGTATCTACTTCCGATACCACGCCAACTGCTAGTATGTCGAGCACTGTCTCTGTGCCAGACACAACGACAAATTCAGGTATTATTATTTAGGGCTCCTTTTGCATTTTAGAAAATACCTGGTCATTATATTCATCGTAAAATACCTGGTCATTATATTCATCGTACACATTAAGTTCAGCCATGGAATCGTTGATAAATATAAATAGGCAATCAATTACTGACCGATCATAATTTGATCATCAATCAGCTTTACAACTTCTTTTCAACATTCTACATCACCATTGCTCTTACAGTGGGAGTGCCGAATGTGACTTTGAGTCCAACTGTGGTTGCCATCCTTGGTATGTCGGAAGACAACTCCCGCGATGAGCCCCACATGGTGTGCGTATTTGCAGACCCTGGCGGTAATCTATTTTTTCTTGTTAAGTGGTACATCAATAATCAGCTATTATCAACGACTACGTATGGAGCTGTGAACCACCAGAACATCAACACAACAGCAGCCCTCAAACCTAAGCACTGGACAGCAAACTACAGCATGAACATGAATGTAAACACTTTTGAAATCTAAAAAGTTTTACAGTTTCACACAGATTTTTAGCAAACTTCTTAATCATTCAATGCATTATAACTTTTTGAAATCTTTTGACAATAAATATAACATATTTTATCCATATCATACATTGATTATAGGCTCTTGAATGTGTTTCGATCACAAAAAGATATGAGGTTTTATTCTAAAAAAAAATCTTAATTCGCCATATCTTTTATTTTTTCTATTAGTATAAGTTAATGGTATATCGTTTTCTTATCAATTGTAGATAAAGTGCTCAGTGCACGCGCAATATCTTGTAGACAGTGGCCAAGGTCTTCCCCACGAAAGTGCCAACTTCTTTGCTGGAATAACGGTAATTCAAAATATTCTCACTCGAATTTGCTCCATGTATTAAATAATTGTACAACGTAGGATTACTACGAAGTCCCAATTTTCAATTAACAAGTAAAAACTGAGTAATCGTCGATTTATATCTACAATCTGTCAGTATAAACAAGTAGAAATTAAGTAATCGTCGTATTATATCTACAATCTGTCAGAAGATGTTTACCATAGAAAGGTTTATGTTCTTAGATACAAGAAACAAATATCCAAGTCAGTGAAGGAGATACTACACAGATAACCCTCACAAGTTCTGTCCCTGTTGGCTGTTCAGCTTCACTCACTGCAGCTCAAAAAGAGGCTCAGTGCAAAGCTAATTTGCATATAATCACGAGTGAGTGGGACTGGTGCTGGAATGGTGTTAAATATCTAGGCGTTGCATTCCCTGACAATGGCTGTCACGTGTCTATCCCATATAAGTACTGGGACCAACCTGTGACACTAAATGTGACTGGGTATGTTGATAGTGTGAAGAACTGGTGGGACAGATATTCAAGAGTCAAATTTAAATCTACGACAAATCCAACCGATAGATCAGATGCATGGAACAACGTCACAATCGACCATATTGTGTCTGTAAGTTTCATGATGAAGGAACTTGTTCTCTTCCTTTTCTGCATTCCTGAAATGATCTTAAAACATTTGCGTAAACTTGGTGAATGGCCAAAGTTAAATTAATGTCATTGTTATATACAAAGTATATCTTAATGACCCATTTCATGCAGAGGAATCTAGAATTAGGCAAGCAATTTGCCATTGGATTTTACAAAAATGAATTGAACTTTTTCGTAACTTGCAAATTAGTAATGTAATTGATTATAAAAAGATTTTTCCCAGAAAACAAGCCTTTATTTGACATGAATTGATAAACAAAGTTTTGCCAGTGATCTGATTTCAATTTTCAAATTATCGAAAACCAAAGCACAGATGACATACATTGTACACAGATCAGACAGTTTATTTACATTCAATGAAACATATGTTTTGCAAACATATGTCATACTCTCAAAAAGTGAAGGAAATATATGTATTACGAAAAACAATTATTTAAGGAATGAGTATTTATTGTTTTTTGCACAACTTGGTTCCTCAGCAAAATATAAAATTCCATTCTTTTGTATCCTCGATCGGCTTATTGGTAACTTCTAAACGCCAAATATACCTGAACTCAATGTATTTGAAAAGGCTCTAAGAAGAAGCTGTTGAATCTTACAGGTGTCTGTTTCGGATGAAAGCTCCTATACCTCAGGGGGAGGAATGTGTGGGGGGTTCAATGACCCCCACATGGTGACATTCGACAGGAGGTATTGGGAGAATCAGAGAGTTGGAGAATTTGTTATGTACAAACACAAAACGAAACCTTTTGCGGTAAGAAATGCATAAGACCATAAACGTTTTGAGAAAGGGCACAATTTCTAATCATAATATAGGTATACACTAGTATACAGATCACTGCCATCAAAGACGTGGTGATTTTAAAACCTATACAAACACAGAACTTCTAGAACTTCACAGAACTATACAAACCCAGAACTATTCTAGTGACACGAAAAATACAAAATAATACCTCAAATAGTTAAGTATATATACGGCATTTGGGAATGGGACATGAACAGATAAATAAAACAAAAACAGAAAAGGTACTTTTATACCTAGGAATTAATAAATTACGATTTTTTCATGGTATTTCTCCAAAATAAGCTCAAAAACTAATCTCTGACTATGAGAATCAACTGTGGGTACAACAGAAGAAAATCAATCGTAGGTAGAGGGACGTTGTCATTTAGAAGTGTATATTATTATTCTAATCTTAAAGATCAACTGCCTGCCAATATAATGTTTAATTATCTTCTTTTTTATGTATACATTTAGGTGCATGCGCTGTACTCCACCTGTTACCCGTGGCGGGCGGCATGTAATTGTGGGGTAGCTATTCGGTCCGGGAAGAATTTGTACGTAGTGAGGACATGTATTGAGGTCTCCTTTCAAAAAGTTAATCTCCTCAGTTACCCGTACGAGAGATATGATGGATGTAGCCAGGAGGACGAAATCACTGTACAAAAACTCGGCACCAATTACAGAGTAAGAAATTTCAAATGATAAAATAACTTGCTGCAACACAAAGACATAAATCATACGTAAGCTGAATAGTTGGTAAATGATTTGAAGAAGTTGTATTGCTTTACTTCTAGTAATCGAAATATTTTTGTATTGCAATAAAGAAAACGTAGTTTTCGTTTAAAACTCATGAATACAATGTAGAAAAATGAACTGGTGCTTTAGTTCACTGCTGACAGTTGTACACGTTCATAAATACTGCTATCTTTATACCGAATACCTAGCAAGTAATACGTGTATATTTATAAATGAACAGGTGATATTACCCAACATGTAATACCTGCATCTTCATACATGAGCATATCCAGCATTATTATCCAGCATGTAATACCTGTATATTTTTACTTGAACAGGTGACATTAGCCAGCATTTAATAAGTGTATCTTTATTTCTGAACAGGTTACATTTCCCAACATGTCATACTTCTATATTTTTTACCTGAATAGGTGACGTTACCTAGCGGTACCGAGGTGTCTTTCTCCTTTAATTCATGGTCCCATTGGATCAACTATATACAGATCGTGGCGTCCCCGTCTGACTTTCAAAACACCGAGGGTATATGTGGCTACTACGATAATGATTATACCAATGACTTCATCCCAAAAAATAGCAATTCTCATACAAGTGACGAAAAGGCATTTGCTTTGTCTTGGAGGTAAGGGAGAAAACTTTAAACTTGAGTTGCAGTAATTAGTCATTATGAAATGATGTAATTAGTCATAACAATATGACCAGGAAGTTCTTTTTTATTATGGCATTCATCGATGATTTTAACTTTTCCCTTGAAAGTGGAAATAAAATCGACTGATATCAAATATATTAATGACTTTTCTGTTGCAAAGACATTTATTCCACGTACTGAGTTATACATAATGATTTGAAGGATAAAATCTACGGTATTAAAAATGTTAATGATTTTTCTGTAAAAATATAGTTGACTATCTGTATGATGCCAAAACCTTTACTATGACATTTATTCACTACTGAGCTATATTACGATTTGAAGGGTCGGCATCGGTAATTCAGATAGCCTCTTTAAGAAAAATCCTGACGTCATTTATGGGACTTCGTAAGTAGAACTTCAGATTAAATTTTTTTGCCAATGTTGTTTAAAATGTCTACATCGTATTATCAATCTAACTAAACTTGTCATTCAACTTTTAGATCAGGCGGCAGTACACCACAAAGCCAGGTGAGGTACTGTACGTGTTCCTCTTTTTACCAATTCTATGACCAGTGGTATAACGTTCCATTCGATCCCAACTATGCAACATGTAACCTTGAAGCCCCAACGGAACCATGCTCGGACAAGGCCGGTCAGACCGTTAACGTTTGCTCTCTGAACAGACGCAGGCGCAGTACTGCCGATTCCGATGACGTCATAGATGAAATAGAATTTGGATATGATCCGGAATTTAATCCTAGCATCGAACTTAACGTAAGAGAACTTGTCTTTTTAATGTAGACATATTAAGCGTTACTGAAAAAAATAATATTTACTGGAATTTTATTCCGTTTTATTGTTTTTAAGGTCAGCGATTGGATTAGGGTTAGGATTATTTTCTGGTATTTAATTCCTTTTATTGTTTTTAAGGTCAGCGATTGGGTTAGGGTTAGGGTTAGGATTATTTTTTGGGGGATTTAATTCCCTTTTATTGTTTTTAAGGTCACCGATTGGACAAATGGTTGGAACGAGGAAAATGCTACACAGTTTTGTAACGAATCCTTTACACACGATTTGGCTGTGGTGACGTGTATTGAAAAGGTCAACACCAGCGTGGCAAAGTACATCAATGGCTGCGTGGAGGACATTAAGGTTAGCTGACTGTAATGGGAAAAATATGATCTACTCGCTGTAGCGTCCTTCTACATAAACTTGTGGGAAAAATATAATCTACTCGCTGTAGCGTCCTTCTACATAAACTTGTGGGAAAAATATAATCTACACGCTGTAGCGTCCTTCTACATAAACTTGTGGGAAAAATATAATCTACTCGCTGTAGCGTCCTTCTACATAAACTTGTGGGAAAAATATAATCTACTCGCTGTAGCGTCCTTCTACATAAACTTGTGGGAAAAATATAATCTACACGCTGTAGCGTCCTTCTACATAAACTTGTGGGAAAAATATAATCTACACGCTGTAGCGTCCTTATACATAAACTTGTGGGAAAAATATAATCTACACGCTGTAGCGTCCTTCTACATAAACTTGTGGGAAAAATATAATCTACACGCTGTAGCGTCCTTATACATAAACTTGTGGGAAAAATATAATCTACACGCTGTAGCGTCCTTCTACATAAACTTGTGGGAAAAATATAATCTACACGCTGTAGCGTCCTTATACATAAACTTGTGGGAAAAATATAATCTACACGCTGTAGCGTCCTTATACATAAACTTGTGGGAGAAATATAATCTACACGCTGTAGCGTCCTTATACATAAAATTGTGGGAGAAATATAATCTACTCGCTGTAGCGTCCTATACATAAACTTGTGGGAGAAATATAATCTACACGCTGTAGCGTCCTTATACATAAAATTGTGGGAGAAATATAATCTACTCGCTGTAGCGTCCTTATACATAAACTTGTGGGAGAAATAAAATCTACTCGCTGTAGCGTCCTTATACATAAACTTGTTTGTTTCCTTATATCAACTGCCTGGGCAGAGAATGGTTAGAGGAACAAAAAAGAAACAAATTTTAGGGTTGCTTGTTAAAAGATCAAGGTCAAAAGTCAAGTTATTACACATTAGTGTGATGAATTAATTTGAACATAGACTTATACTTTCCATTTGAAGTGAAAGTGATCACAGAAAGGTAGCTGTAGATTTTTTGGGTCAACTTATCAAAGATAAAGATGTGGCTATTGTGATATAATATCATATTCAATAAATTTTAGAGAAACTTTGTCAAGGGTCATTATTTAAAGGAAGGACTAATTTTATACCTATTAAGAGACATCCGTATAAATGCATTTACGACACAGATAAACAATGAAAATTGAATCTATTTTATTTGCCACCTCGTCAACAAATGTCGGGATCAAAATAACTAAAATGGTTATTAAATATTCAGGCAATACAATATGTCAACAACGGATAGATGAATGTTGTATATTGTAAAGTTATTGTGTCAAAAATTAAGGTCAAACACGTATACTTTTCGATAAACAAATTTTCCAGTGCTGCACAAAACGTAACATATTTCAACATGTAAACTTTATAATAGCAACTTGATATATGTATAGAGGGTTTTTAAACCACTTGCTCAAAGGTCAAGGTCGTTGATATGAATATACTCCTTCTTTCTGCAGTCATGTTTTACATGTACTTATGTAACATATACTTTACTTTCTTAGATGATAGGGAACTCGGAATTTCTTCAGGCGACCTTGGATACATTGAAGAAGGAGTGCGTAACTACTGCCTCTCGAGACTCTCAGTTTAGTAACTCAACCACTGACGACGGGGGGAGTATCCTTGACCTTCTGAGGTCATTAGTCTGCCCTAATAACTGTTCAGGACAAGGAGTCTGTGTCAATGGTAACTCTTCTTTTTTGATGCTCATTATCAAATTTTAAAGATACTGTCGTATTTTTCAAATGTATACCCACGGGTGAAAAACCCGATCGCATGAAGCATACTGTGAAATTAATTATTGATTTGTTTCGTTTACAGAGACATGCAGCTGTAACACAGGTTTTATAGGAGAGGACTGTTCTGTAGAACTATCAACACCGCCAGCAAACATTACAATTCCTAAACAAGGAGTATGTGACACTAGCGTGCGCGCGTGTCAGAAAACCAACATCGTGGGGACGTTCTATAGCGAGAATATTATTGCCAAATGTAGTTATTTCAAGGTATAATTTAGTCTGTTGCTGAATTGTTAGGCATTTAATTGCACATGATGAAGACGTTATTGATCCGAGTTTGAGTTAAATGTAACTTTATCGGCGTCTTTAAAGTTTTGATAACAAATAATATCCCATGAGTATTGAAATTTCAAACATTTCAAAATCCCAAGTGACATCATATATGGATGTTCTATTCAAGTGTCGCTAATTTGGGTCATGCTTCATTATTTATGGCAGATAGTGACAAAGCACATGCAATCTGATGAACTTTATACTGGACTGATGTCATTAACATTTGGAGCAACACATTCTGGCCATTTTTAAATGTCACAAAGTGATTATAAAATGTCTGCGTTGAGAATATTTGAGTAAGCAGTATGAAACTGTCTGTCTCTCAGTATTCATTCACACGCAACTTATGATTCAAATATTCGGTATCACGAATATTGTATTTTTCCATTGTTTCACCTAATTATCTAATTTTTGCTATTAATACGCCTTGTTTTAACAGATAAACAATGTTTAGAATATTATATCCATGTAGTTGTTTTATTTTTCGTTTATGTGAAATACTTTCTATGACTCTTTAACTACAAATAATAACATCCTACTTTAAGGCAACACCTAGCGGGAGGGAGAACTCGACCCATGAAGTATTCGCGGAAGTGCAGTACAGGCACATAAACCTGATAACGGTAACCATTCCAAGTCCCCCGACTTCGCGCAGGCGCAAACGATCTACCGGAGGTGACGTGCATGGATGGGACATTCAGCTGAGCTACGACAACACGACGTATGGCGATCCTGTCGTCATAATGCTGTTTGACAGTACAGCTAAATCCTGTGACACAACGACCTTCATCTGTATAAGCAAGGTTAGTATCAGTCTGTGTATGGTGTTTGACTAGTACAGCTAAATCCCGTGACACCACGACCTTCGTCTGTCTTCGGAAAGACAGAATTTTTTGTCATATATAAATCGTTAATGTGACTTCACTGAAACCTTTAAAATCATTTTCAAAAATCAAATTAGATCGCCATTATTACCCTTTATCACCTATCCCACGTAATTCTCGTTCTTTGTTGTCCTTTGTCTTTCATCTTAGGGTAATATTTTAAAAATTAACTACATGGGATACAATACTTAAATGGCCGTAAACTGTATTTTTGAAAGAATCCAATAGATATATCTTATCCGTATCTTATTTTGGAATAAATGTTTTTACGTTAATTACAGGTCACAGCTGCGGAACCAGAATCCGGTAAGCTATATGTGGGGCGAGGGGGGGATTCGAAAAAGAAACTTGTGAAATATGGAGTTTACTTTCTCTGTTAAATAACTGTGGTACTTTTGTTTAACTTTTTAGAAAACAATGCTGGAATCATCGCTGGGGCTGTCATCGGAGGGGTGATCGTTATAGCTATCATTGTCGGTATTATCATCTACATTAAAATGTACAAAAGGTTAGTGGTATCACAATTGTGTCATCTCACAATGAAACATTGAAAAAATAAGATACAACACTTAAGAAAGGTATTCAAAATTACCTTTAAACAAGAGACTAAAATATATAAGATATCGAGATTTCAAAACTTTAAAGAATAAATGTTAACTTTTCAATCCCAGTTAAATTCTTTTGCAGTCTTTGATAATTTTGCAATGAACTCACTCCGTATCTGGATTTAATTAAGTGAATGTATTTTATTTAGGGTCAAAGGGCGTGTGAGTGATAGTGAGGCTGATCTGAGGAATAAAGATTCAGTACCATTGACCAGTACCTGAACATAATGTTATGCTCAGCATGGACTGCTATGTGACGTCACAATCAATTACGAGTTCATTGGTTGTAGAACTAAATAAAATTACACTGTTATTACATTGTAATTAATTATATTGAACAATGAATGATTGATATAAAAAAAAGTCATGTAGATTTTTCACTTAATGAAGAGCTTACTTTATATGAGCATATAGAAAACTAAGCTATGTATGTGGGTTAATGACGAGGAAAATTTTTTTCCGAATTTTTTTTAGCCTAATCTTTTTTTCATATTAGAGATAATGCTGGTTTAACGTGTACAGTTCTTTTTTTAGGGTGGGGTTATATTTTTTACAGAAAAATTACCATAAACCGTTTTATGTGTATAGGAATTGTCAGTTTAATATTTATCTTCTTATCATAGAAAATTATTTTTGTATCCAAGTCTTCTGTGATGTGATGCTGTGATATCAAGTGTGACGAGATTTTCTACTTATAACCAGTGATAGTATTCACTTTTACATGTACTTATATTTCATTCATCGATGTCATTGTGCCTAGATCCGTCCTAGAGTTTGAATCTGTGATAATTGTCTTAACTATGCATGTATATGATATGTGAGTAATTAGCTATATAAAATATGTCTCGACTTTTTATTTACCGGGTATTTACAGTCTTCACTGTACGATATGTTATTTTCAAACAGTTGATTATAAAGTAATTATAATTAAAAAAAGTGGTGTCATCAATAAAAATGACTAATTTCATGTTTAATTCGACAAGAATCATAGTTAAAACATGATTGTGACGTAAACCTTTTGTTTGTGTTGTCCATTTTATAGCTTAATGTTGAGCTAATTCCCCAAACAATCCATTAATTCACCTGTAAGTGTCCGTTCTTTTTGGAAAACTGACCATTCTTTTTAAGAATGGATATTTTTTTAAAAAAGAATGGACAGTTAAAAGAAACAGAATGGAGAGTTACAGGTAAACTTTGGGATGTGCCTAAGAGGAAACAAACACAAATACATTAAATACGATTTAATTTACATGTAAATAACAAAAAGAACGTAGAGATCTAAGTTAATCCAGAACACAATGTCTGCACAGCATCCGCTCGATTTTACACTTTTAAATTCATGAATAATGCCCATTATTTCAATACTCAAAACTCAATTTTCACAAAACTTGAATTTAAATGACACAATTTCACATTTGATTTAAATTTCGAAAACATCATTCCCTTGAGAAGAATCCATTTTAATGAAGTACGGCTTATACTAAATCCACTACCCAAAAACAGTTTGCACCATGAGCACTACACTGCTTCTATAGAAAATATGTAAAATTGAAACATTTCCAGATTTGATTTGAAATACATTTTCAGGTCGAAGTTTGGCTCGTGGCTAATCCAACACTCAGAACACAATTTGCATCTCACCATTACACTGCTGCAGTCAATATATCCTCAAAAATTGAATTGAAATAAAACATTCCCAGATTTGATTCGAATTTGATTATCTGTCGAAGAAGAAATTCATTTTGTGGTCAAAGTTTGGCTAATATTTCTTTTACTATTCTCTGTTCCCAGGTCCAACAATCACTGATTTTGTGCATCTTTTAGTTCATTGGATTTTGATTCTTTCATATACTCTCTCCATTGGAGGTAAGCACGCATGTCTTTTCAACGCAAACTATAAACTGATTTTGAAGCATCACATCCTTGTATAAATACTAGTATCCCCCCAAATCCACCTGTAACTAACCGTTCTTTAGACAAAAACCTTTTGTTATTTGCATTTGAAAACGCATGGACTATTCAACAAATTGCTCTGCATCGCAGCTTACCTGTGACTGTCCATTCTGTAAACGATGAACTTGTCATTGTATGTGTGCTACCTGTCATATCTGATACCAGTATTGTACATTTTTATTTAATTCTTAGAACAAAGGAAATCATGTTTTAAGTAGGAAAAAGGCCTCAAACTGTCCATTCTGTGAGAAAAAAGAACTAATCTCGGGCTTACGGCCCTCGATTAGTTCTTTCTCTCACAGAATGGACAGTTTGAGGCCTTTCTCCTTTACATAAAATCATGAAAAATAAAAGATCATATTGACATAACTAACCCCCCCCCCCCAAAAAAAAAACAAAACAAAACAAAACTAGCGTCTCTGTAATCGTTGCTTTGAAAGGCATTACATAATTATCCTGTTTGTATTGAGCAATATAAGAATGATTGAATTATCATTGATATAAAGATACAATGATCAGTGACGTCATTAAAAAAGTCTCAACTGTTGTATCTTACAGTGTGTGGAGATGGGAATAAAATTAAACTGATTCTACTGATAAAATCACCGTAATTTTTTAAGGTATAAAAGAAGATGGTGAATTAATTAGTATTAAAATCCACTGATCAATCCTTTGAATCCAGATATGAAATATTTTACAATGAAGATGAATTAATTTGTTGCAGTGAAAATAATGATTGATATATTTAGAATTAACAATTAAGTTTGTTTACAAGGACCAGATAAACTTGTTAGTTTAAGTGTGTTAATGGGTAAAAAACTGTGTGCAAGCTATATGAAATATAATTGAATACAGTATAAAGCGAGATAACTCCTACCAGAACGGCTTATTTGAGGGCCGGATGTTAGTAGTGAATGTTGACTTCATTGTAGTTTCAGGAATATTGTTTTACCTTTTAGTAATAATACTTTTGTTCTTCATTGATTTTCAATTCAATTTCACTTTACGTTATTTTTCCAATAAGAACATTCACAACAAGCTACAATTGTAGATCTATATTTTGTATCTTGTATAATTGTGATAAAAAGATGTGTGTTCTTTCGGAATTCTATGGTCATTATAATAACCTTCTTAGTACTTATGACCTATCAATGGGTCGTATTTTGGCTGACGTATTTCATACCAATTATAAAGCCTTTGTTTTTATACCTAATTTGACTACGGAATCTTCCCGCCACTGGAATTTCCAGTGGTCCGTGTTTTATGCCCTGTTCACGGATTTTTATTGCTAATATATTTTTTTTAAAAATCGATCATTGTTCTTTATCTTCGCCTTTTTTATTATGTGACATAAAACTTTAAAATGATTTGTCTGTTGTGTACATTATGTAACTTACCCCAGGTCAATGAAAGTACAGAATTTGTCCTAATCTTTTTTGGCTTTTAATTCTTTAATTATTAAATTACAGAAAACAATAAAGTGCATAAGAACATTTAAAGCTTTGAAATCATTTTTTAATGCCTGTACAACGCACACGCATAACCTGCCTAAAGCCTTTGTTCAAAACAATATTTGAATTTTTCTTTATTCCAAGTAATTCAGGATTTACGATATTATAAGAGATCTCTTTCCTTTATTTCCAATAGATTTTAAAGGAAAAAATTGAAATGTTACCTACCTTATTCTAAATTACATCAATAATCATACATAAATTACCTGGTAATGTATCTCATCTAAAAAGTGTACACTACCAATCAGCATGTAAACATACTAGCAGGATACAACTACATTGGAATCCAGTTGTCGTGTTTTTAACTGTTCAGATTCGTTCTGTTGACTAGATTTAAGATCGAGACTGATCTGCCATTTGAAACAAATGGCGTGCTTTCGTTTGTTGCAAATGATGACTACTGCTCGTTAACTTCATCGTTTACATATACATATACGAGGGTTGTCAATAAAGTTCGTGGAAATTTACGTTTCTGTCAAAATGAATTGTTCTAGATATACTTATTGTATACTAAAATACTTGTTATGAAAATCCATGTCAGGAGAATTTGTTTTGGTTGTTTAAACTAAATTAATATTTTTGTAAAAATCGCGATCTTTAAAGGTCGCAATTTTGCGCATGGACAAGGGTTAAAATGCAATAAACTTTGAAACAAAGCGTTCCGATTAAAATGATTATTTTCTTCATAAAACAAGTCAAATCTTAATAAAAATTAAATTTATTGCAAATAAAAGGGCTATCGTCAATTTCTCGTATCTTTAGTATCGCTTATAATACAAATAGGTAGTGAAAATATTAAGACACATCCGCAAGAAATATTTTTTCAACAATTGACAGAAAAACTACATGTACGTCGGTCATCCGAACGGAACAGTGTCCAATCATAGATTTTTGTTTTTATGCTCCTGTAATCGAAGTTTCGGGGGCATATCTCTGTCTGTCTATTTGTCTGTTAGATTTCAATACTTTAAAAAAAATTGTTAACTTTTCAATCCCAGTTACATGTAAATTCTTTTGCAGTCTTTGATAATTTTGCAATGAACTCACTCCGTATCTGGATTTAATTACCTGAACGCATTTTATTTAGGGTCAAAGGGCGTGTGAGTGATAGTGAGGCTAATCTGAGGAATAAAGATTCAGTACAATTAACCAGTAGCTCAACATAACGTTATGCTCAGCATGGAATGCTATGTGACGTCACAATCAATTACGAGTTCATTGGTTGTAGAACTAAGTAAAATTACACTGTTATTACACTGTAATAAATTATCTAAGATGTTAGAAAGAATTAACAACACTCTTCTTGTAAAGAAGGGATTTATTAAATCTGGTCGCGGTGAATATTTGGGGTGGCCGCCGGGTCTCTCCCCCCCCCCCCCAACAATGAACAATACAAGTGGCTACCCAAATGGGCTGAATTGTCCACTGGGTATTAAGTTCACGAATGCACAACGCCACGGAAAATGAAATGCAATACAAATATATATACAATGGGCCAATATCCTATCAACAAAGATATCAATATAGATGTACAATATGGGCCAATATCCCATCAAATGTTATAAATTTGAAGTCATAAAGTTGTTAAACGGGAAAATCCCATTAACATTAGATATCAACTGAATGTGCAACACACAATTATTCAAATATATGTTGAAATGTATAAGATACAATAAATAGCGCCACAAAATTGACACATCCATTTGAGATGGGTTTCGACGATAACTCCACATGCATGCAAGTGCATCCGCCACCAATGAGTGCTCCACATATTGGTGACGGCTTCGCCAACCCACCTCAAACTGTCACCGCTGACCAGCGCCTTCACAGTAAAATGAATATGGCTCCCTATTGAGTATTTTTATGACAACCTAATAAGCATTCTATTGCTCCTTGTATATTGTTCATATTGTTCAGAAACAAATCGTTTCCTACCTGTGATAAGTGGACCCCATCCCCACCAAAAAGCTGGACAAGATTGCTGTTAAGTTGTGGGTGTTTAATAAATGATCCTCAAATTTAGCTACTGTTCTAATTGCCACCCAGTCTAATCTTGTTCTGGCTTTATTCATTGAACGTACGTTTGAAGAAAAGCGCCATGTTCTCCTCGGGAGGGTATAAGAACATACAAGCTTAGCAATGGGAAATAAAACTTTACATTCAGACAGTATGTGTTTAATTAAACGTAGCAGGCGCCTTAAATGTGTTGAACCTATATTGTTGGTCCCGCAATGAATGATGATAATTCCCGGTGAGTTTCGAAAGTTCTTTAAATACTTGAGCTTTGGCAGGAGATCCAGAAGTTTCATGCCGCTGTAACCCTACCACCAAATGTTTGCTTGTGGTAAGGAGAGGTTCATTCCACCCCTCCTACAGG